TTTTGTTTTTGTCTTTTGGTGTTTCCAACTCCCAAATAAGAGATTTGTTAATACAATTGGGACGCAGAGCCCCCCCATCCCTCCTTCGCTAGCCGTTTACATCTGGGTGAAATCCATTCCTCGTGGTAACGCACATGTCCTGCTGCCTGTAGAAAGGACCATGCTGGCTTAGCTTGGCTGCTCTTCTCTGAACCACCAGGGTCGAGAGGGGAAGTGACGGGTGGATCATTCATTGGAGAAAATGGGAGAAGGAGGAAGGGTAGGTGAAATACAGGGTGGCCGCCAATTCTGGAATATGTAATAAATGATGTGTTCATATTATGTGACATTACACAGTAAGATAATCAAATCTGTTTCCAGACATGACCATCCTGTATAACCAAATCACTCAGGAGTTCCTCTGCTGTTAAAAGAAATGTGGAGTGGCCACGAGATTGTCTCATAGGAGAAGAGAAAAATGTAACTGTGTTTACTGCTAGACACCAGAGCTTTGTGGGGAATGTTGATTTTATAGAGAGGGTGAGAAGATAGGGGGCCTGTACCTGTGCACGTGATCCCCAGCTCCTTCCCCGTTCCTTCACTGTGGGAGGCTCTGCTTCCTTGGGCAATCTCACTGAGGTGTGCTTATTTCATGGCTGACCGTGCTGGTCTTGGGTCTTCATGCCTGATCCCCTCCCCTCCCCCACCTCTTCCTCTGAGATCATATAATGAATGAATAAAGACTGAGTACAGGGAGAAAATGTGTGCATTCACTCAGGTATTTAGGTAGTGTTTACTTAGTGCTGGGCCCTGCAGTTACAGAGATGAGAAGGCAGGGGCTATGTCTTTATGCAGCTTTTTTTCTGTGTAGGTTTGTCTGGGTTTTCAACAACACAGTCCTAATGTCCAGCAGTAATAGTGATTTTATCTTGTTTGCATCCCTATGTCTTTTTCTCGCCCTGCAGTGGTGACCATGACCCGCAGGACAACACTGAACAGAGGCAAAGTGATGGTGGCTGCCATTACCTCGAGCAATTTGCAGTTGTTCTGTTGGTTTGCACTAGGATGCTGGGGAGAAAGTCCCTATGCTGTCCATCTGTCTCTTGGCAGCTCAGATTGAACTGGGGAGTACATCTGGTGCCTGGGGCAGAAATAAAGTGGTGATAGCCCATCTATGTCCTGTGGAGAATTTCAGTTCTGTTGGTTTGCTGTGGACTTGGAGGAGGGTTCCTTCCACATCCCTGCCAGATTAAAGATGTATTTCTCTGTTCCTAGTGTGCTAATTTTTAAAAACTCATGAATGGGTGTTGAGTTTTATTCAGTGCTTTCTTCTACATATTTGAGATTGTCATAATTTTTTCTTCAATTTGTTGCATTGTTTTTTTTTTTTTTACCATGCAAGTTAATTTTATTGAGATATAATTTATATACAACAAAATGCAGCCATTTTAAGTACAGTCATTCCTCGGTATCCATGGGGGGTTCACTATAGGAGGACCTCCTATGGATATCAAAATCTGCGGATGCTCAAGTCCCTGATGTAAAATGGTGTAGTATTTGCCTGTAGCATTTCCAGATTCTGCAGGTACGAGGGCTGACTCTATATAGTTTTTTGAGGTTTAAAAATGTATACACGTGGGCTGGCTAATTAGCTCATTTGGTTAGAGCATGGTGTTACAGCACCAAGGTCAAGGGTTTGGGTCCAAGGACCAGCCAGCCACCAAAAAAAAAATGTATATACTCGTGTAAAACACCACCACAACCATGGTGTGGAGCATTCTAACAACCCCAAAGCTTCTTCCTGCCCCTGTGCAGTTAATCCTGCCACCCGCTGCCCCAGACCACCCCCCACAGAAGTGTGTTCTATCCATGTAGATTGGGTTTTACCTGTTAGAGAATCTTATGTAAACGGAAATGTGGGGCATGTCCTCCTTTGTGTCTGGCTTTGGTCTCGGCGCATGTTTTACGATATGCACAGGCAGCAGTGTACATTGGGATAAAATATTACCTTGTGTGGAGGTGCCGTAATTTGTTCACCAGCTGATGGACAGATGAGCTGTTTCCAGATTGGGACTGTCATAAACATTTGTATATAATCAAATGTTTGTGTCGATATGTATTCTTATTTCTCTTATATAATTATCAAATATGGCTAGATGGTATGGTAAATATGCACTGGCCTTCGTAAGAAACTGCCAAACTTTTTTCCCAAAGTGGGTGTATCCCTTTACATTACCAGCAGCAATGTAGGTGTTCATTTCCTGTAACCCATCTTCACCGACCCTTGGTGTCATTGACCCTTTTTATTTCAGCCATCCCGGCGGGGCTCCCATTGTGGTTTTATTGCATTTCCTTAATTACTGGTGATGAACATCTTTTCAGGCATTTATTGGCCATTTGTGCACACTCTTGTCTGTTCAAACCTTTTCCTCATTTTTAAAGTCGGATTGTTTGTCCTACTGAGTTGTGAGAATTTTTTATGTATTATGCACACAGGCCCTTTGTCAGGTATTTTTGTGGTTTTTGAATATTTTCTCCCAGTCAGTTGCTTGCCTTTTCCTTTTTAAAGTTTTGAATTTTAATGAAGTCCAGTTTATTTAATTGTTCTTGTATAGTTCATATTTTTTATGTCCTAAGAAATCTTTGTGTATCCCAGGGTTCATAAAGACCTGTAAGTCTGTAGTCTGTTTCATGTTAATTCATGACATTAAACCCAATGTTTCATCCCTGACATAGACTGGACTTTGACTTGATGTGTGATTTTTTTTTTTTAAAATACGTTGCTGGACTCCGTTTGTTAATATTTTGTTTCTAGGGGCCGGCCCGGTGGCGCACTGCTACGGTGCGCCGCTTGAGAGTGCGGCGGCGCTCCCGCCGAGGGTTCGGATCCCACATGGTGCGGGCGCAAAACCGAGGGTTGCGATCTATATCTGTGTTTATAAGTGATATTGACCCATGATTTCTATTAGTTCTGTACTCACCTTGTCCAGCTTCAAGATGAAGGTTTTGCTGACCTTGTGAGATGAGTGGGGAGTGTGCCCTCTTCTGTTCAGGGTAGATCTGAGTTTGGTTCGAATGATTTGAACTTTGAATGCGGTGGAACCCCCCTTCCCTCCCCCCAGTGGAGCTGCCAGGAAGGTGGGTCATTGAAGGTTGCTTGGGAACAATGATCTGGAACAGTGTCTGGGGAGCTGCCCTCTCTTGAGGGCTGGGGACACACCTAGTTTTGGGTGGCCCCCAGGGTGAAAGATGAAGTGAGGTGGCACTTGACTGCTGGGAAGAAATGCAGGGCTGGGCCTGGAGCTGTACCAAGTGTCCTTGGGGCAGTTGGCCTGCCCAGCTGTGGTCTCCCAGTTGGTGTCAGAGGTTGGTGCATCTTGGCGCCCTTAAGAAAGATGCTGCTGAGAGGCTCCCTCTGCTACAGGCATTCCCCAGACCACAGGAGTTGGGGGCGGGTTAGTTGTGTCCCTAGAGACTCACCTCCTGTGGCTAGTGGAAAGCCAACTGGGCAAAACCAGTTTGCATAAGCAAAGCCTTCTAGGCCAGCTTTGCTCACACTCTGGGAAAGGAACGAGGTAAGTTGCGGGATTCTTGCTTCCTGAGGGATGACCCAGGAAGGAACCAAGCTCAGATCCCACTTCCTTGTGGCCGTCTCTCAGACATGCTTTCCCCTCATTGGCCCTCCACTGCTGCCAGAGTCTGTCTCCCTCGTTACCACATCCCTTGAGCTCCTGCTTCCCGATGATCTAACAGTCCTTTGCATGTTTCTGTTGCATGGGCCTGGTGGGGCAGGCAGGGATTGTGGCTCTAAATGTCTGCACTTTATTAGGCACTGTGTGGAAGAGTTGGTATCTGGTTAGTTGAATTGGAATGCTTGAAAACCACCCAAAATGCTGAGAGAGATGTACCAAGCAAGGACCTCTTTGAAGAAGAGACACACAGAATGGGTGGGTGGTGGTCTTTTCCTAATCTCAGTGCCAGCAGACGGGTCAGGTGCCCTGGTCATTTGCAGAGTGTATTTCTGGATGCCTCTCTGCTGCAGCAGAAGTGGGTGGCATGGGGCGCGGAGGGGCCACTGTTACTGTTCTCCTCTGCTCACCGAGAACAACAGACTGCTTCTTTGTGATATTCAGCAGGTTCCTCTGGCTGAAATGCCTGAGGAACAAGCAGCACCAAAATCCCAGTCGCTTATAGCAACAGACATGCATTTTGCACTCATGGTTCTGCAGGTGGTCTGCGGTTTGACTGGGCCAGCTGAGACAGGCTGGATCAGGCTTTGAGTGTAGTTCAAGGCCTTCATTCAGGAGCCCACGTGGAAGGGTCAGCAACACCCAGGGCACGCTCTTCCAGTGATCCCAGGAACGCAAGAGGACAAACCAGTCAAATGCTCTTCTTGACAGCTTCTGCTTTAAGCATGTCCTCTGACCAGTGCCAATGGCCAAAGCAAGGCCACGGCCGAGCCTAGCACCCAGTGTCAGTGTGATGGGGAACACAGCCTGTGTGTGTGAGGGGGACCTGCAGAGGCAGGGGTATCTGATCCTACACCTCTGGAGCTAGAATCCCATCCACTCTGCTCTTCTCTTCAGTGCCTCTAGGGATTTCTGGAAGTATCTATGTGTTGTGTCACACATAAGGTGCCTGGCCCAAAGGAAGTTCTCTGTTTGCATGACTAAATGAATGAGCATAAACCCACTTAAGGTTCTACTTTGATTCTTTATAGAAGGAAGTTGAAAGTCATGTTACTAAAAGGAGCCACAGGTCCTATAAAATTGCTTAAAAATTAATGTCAGAAAAATGTCATTTTGTATGCCATTTCCTTGATTTTATTGACATTTTTGCCTGAATTCTGTCTTTGTTTCAGGGAAATAGTGGAACATATGGTCCAGCACTTTAAAACACAGATCTTTGGGGATCGGAAACCAGTGTTTGATGGAAGGAAGAATCTTTATACAGCTATGCCCCTTCCGATTGGGAGGGATAAAGTAAGTTCATGGTGGTGTGTTTGGATTAAACAATATGCAATGAAATGAAATTCAAACGTCTTGTAAAGTTAATTGTTCCTCTTGTCTCATACTAAATCATTTCACGTAAAAGGAAAGAGCAGCTAGTTAGCTATGTGCCTTATCCCAAGATCCATAACAACTACCTTGTGTATTGTAATTTTTGATGATAGAGGGTGAAGTGTCTAAGTCTGGAGATGGGAATTGGGAACTTCTCAAAACCACCAAACTCTTACGTACAAAACAAACACACACAGAGTGCAAGCCATAAACCCCTACCAGACAAGAGCCTGGACTGAGCAGTGGATTATAAAGACCTGAGGAAAAGGGTGTTCACATAGGTGTAGGGGTGTGTCTGAGAGAGGGACAGGGAAGTGAGACAAAGTCACTGTTCTGCTGTAGCCAGTGATTCCTCTGAAACCACAATGATGGTAACTAGTCAACCCTGGAGTAGTGATTTTATTAAAATAACACATTTTCTAATTATCTTTATCCTTATCGTTGCTTTACTTAGAAAGTAATACCATTTCCGCCTAGAAAGTGTCACTTCTGGTGTCATCTTTCAATACATGCTGCTCCAGGGTGACAGCAGGTGTTGCTTGCAAGCAGAAGAGCAGAGACCCAGCTCAGAGATAATCCTTACACATACTTTAAAAAACTAACAAAACAAAAGACAGTAATTTAACAACTATCCCAAAGAGAAGGTAATAGCTGATTCCTTCTGGGAACGACTTACCTAATCAGCCTTTTAAACTTCCAGGTCCCTGAGAGGGCAGGTAGCTCAGTGTTCACAGGGTCTCAATCTGCTGTCCAGGGATATATGTATTTTAGGGGGAGGGTCAAGGACCTGCAAGCTCTCTACATACATTAACATGTTTTTGCTTTTGCTTTTTAATGATAAATCTTAAAATAAATAAGCTCCTTTTGGCCTTTCTGGATCACTGGTCTTAGTACTCAGCAGTACTGTTCTGAGTTACCTTGCTCTGACCAGAGGAGAAATATGCTATGACTGAGTGAAGGCCATATTATGGTACAGGGCTTTGTATAAAGCAGGCTCACTGTGATTCTAGGAGACAATAGAGGCATGTGGATTGTCACTGCCAGCCCAGGGTGACAGGCATTGGGATTCTGATTCAGCAGGTGTATTAGTCCATTTCTGCTGCTTATAACAAAATATGTGAAACTGGGTATTTTATAAAGAAAACAATTTATTGCTTACAGTTTCTAAGGGTAGGAAGTCCAGAATCCAGGGAATACATCTGGTGAGGGTCTTGGTCGTGACTTCAGTGACGCAGGTTATCACATTGTGAAAATGGTGGAGCAGATAGAGACAGATTCTCCTCTCTCTTCTTTTAACGCCCTCAGAACCACACCCCAACCACCATTTTTAATCCATTCACTACTGCATGGTCCTACAATCCAATCACCTCTTCAAGGCTCTGCCTTTCAATTCCCATAATAGGATTTCCCACTCTCTTAACAGTCACAGTGGGGGCTAAGTTTCTAATACATAAAGGGGGACACAATTCAAGCTTCAATGAGTTTTGGGGGGACATAACATGATTCAATCCACTACAGAGGGAATCCTAGCACCGTATGTGTGTCAGCTGAGCACAGTTACCCCTTGCAAATTAACTTGCTGAGAATTTGATATTTATTGATTTTAAAGTTTTGCGTTTAATCTGCATACTTGTTTTTGTTTAAAGTTATATGAGAAAAGCAGGAGGAGTTTATTCACAGTTCAATTTGTTCATATTTGTAATTAGACACTGGGAGGGTCGTAAGGGTAGTTTTCATTAAGAAGGGGTGGGGGAGTCTGTGTGGTGTTCCAGGTGGGGACATGTCGTGGCAGAAACGAGCAGCACAGACTCTGGGGTGAAAGTCGGCCTGGATTCGAGTCTTTGCTTCACCCTCGCTAGTGGTGAGACCTTGGGCAAGCCCCAGACCTTGCCGAGGCTCACAGCCTCCCAGGGTCTTTGTGGGAGTTAATTAAGCGCATACAACCGTGAGGAGCTTCTCCACCTTTAAGGTGTATGCTGCGTCCCTGGGGTGTCAGCATTTCCATCCAGCTGCCAGCTGACACCCATGCTGCTGGTTCCCGAATCCCACTTTGAGTCGCGAGGACTTAAAGCACATGACAATGATCCTGGGATGTGGCAGACACTTAACCTGTATGACGATCGCTGTCACCGCTGTATAACATTCAGGGCATTTTTCTGGGTTGCCCCAGTGCCCAGAGTACCCCTTCATACACAGGGCCTTAAACCTAGTGGGCGCCCAGTGCCCCTTAAGTCTAGTCCCCACCATCCTCGTCTTTTTTTTCAGATGAAAAACGTGAGTCCTGGAGAGCTTAGAGAACCTACATGAAGCCACCATGTACAGCAAGCGTCAGGGTCTCCCGGCTCCAGGTCACACCTTTTCCACCCACTCTCCAGGTTCTGGAAGATATTCTGGCTTACAGAAATGAGCCCTTCTGTTTGACAGCTAGCGTGCAGAGGTGTTCCCCTTTTCTGTGCCCACACTTCCACATCATGCAGTAGAGCATCATCTTCTTGGGTTTCTTCTCTTAGATTTGCTCTTTTTTTCTACAAAGGACTTTTCTTTGTATCATCGGTAGTAAGAGAGGAATCTTCAGGCGTTCATTGACCCAGAACCTGCTACGCGGCTGAATGGGACCTGCAGGTGGCCCTCGACCTGTGTCATGTCACCCTCACTCAAGGATGAGTCCTCTTTAAGTCTCTCCTTAATCTCTCCTACTAAAATATCAGCCTGCCGGCCTTAATTCCAGGCCATGTGGACAGAGATCAGTTCTACTAGGGCTGGGAGCCCCTGTGCCCACCCAGGCCCACTCCCTTATTTCTCAGCAAAGGAGAGACCTAGGAAGCTGTACAAGTTGCTCAAAATTTTAGGTCCTTTTTTGCAGTAATGTGATATGATTTGTGTTGTCTGTTTTCCCTGGCCGTGGTTCCAGCCCTGTGCCTCCCCTCATTGGGTGCCTACAGAAGTTTTGCAGCTTCCTGGAGCTCCAGACTCTGTGTTTGGCCTGGGCAAGCAGGGGCATCTCCTTTCTAGAAGGAATTTAGGGCACGTGCACAGCTCAAGTTGGTAACAGACCCTGTAGAAGCAGGTTACCATGAGGGAAGACAGCTATGCGCAAAATTCCCCACCAGTTGAGACCTCCTGCTGTCCACCTCTGTGCTCTGGCAGGTGCCTGTTGACCTGGCACTGAAGGTGTCGGTCAGCGGGGAGGCAAGGGCTGACCAGGCAGTGGAGGTTCTACACCCAGAGGCTCAGGGAGGCAGAGACAAAGGGTCCTGGGAGGCATTGGGGTCTCCTCCTTGGGTGACCCACAGAGAGAGGACCAAGTTACCCTTGTCCTGTCATCTTTGGAGCCAACCTGCTGCCTCTCAGGCTGAGGGTCTGGTCTGCTCAGGTGCCTTGACTTGAGCCCACCCATTGCAAGGTGCTCAGGAAGTGCTCCTTAAACCTGGTCAGGCAGCCCCTCCCTGTCCCTGCTGTGTCACCTGCTAGGTTGACTCTGAATTCCTACCATGCCTCACAGATGTGCTGGGTGAGACTGGTCTATAAACCACAGGATTTTGGAGGGGCAGTGATCTGCTTTTTGAGGACATTTGTTGCTGTGCAAAGTCAAAGGAAGCCTTCAGACATGAGATCCCTGGCATGTTTAAATAAGATGTGACCTGCCTGTCCCCTTCTGGAAAGGGCTGGTGGCACAGAGCCTGCAGCTGTTACTCTGGCCCAGGCTCCAGTGGGCACAGTGGTGTGACAGCTCTTCCAGCAGGCTCTGGGGAGGACCATGCCCGGGTCTGGGTTCCTGCAACCAACCAGATACGCCCGCTGGTGCTGTCGCTGCTTCCTTAGCGACCAAGGGCAAAGAGCCTATGGGGCTTGGCTGGCCCCAACAGCTGAGTTTTGAGCAAGAAAATCCTTTTGAAGCGCAGCTGCTTCTCTGCACTCTCTCTCCAGCTTCACACACGGTTTCTTTGTGCTCTTTAATGGGCTGTTTTCCCTTTCTTTGTTTCTAGTTGGTAGCAGTACCAAAACAGGAATCTTCCCATTACAGCTCCGTCTCTCCCCTGGGGATTTTCAGACAGAGGGCGCTGAGCCTGTGGCATGTGGTCCCCATGGAGAGACTGGGTTTTGCAGCTGTCCCCCTGCGTTCCAGGCCCTGCGTTGGTGCTGTGTGCTGGCTGACATCTTCCGTCGTCCACATTAGAAAATGGCAGTTGCAGCGTTCCTGTGTCCCAGACAGCTTCTGACACAGCGCTGCCGTGCATGGTTGACACAAGCGCTCCGTGAGTTGGGCAGTGCCTCCCATTTGTCCCCTTATGCACAGAGGGGGTCCGATGGAGCTTCTTGCCCAGGGTCAGACCACAGATGCTACAGAGCTGGGAGGTGGCCTCATCCCAAGCACATTGCAGGTGCTGCCCTGTGGATGTTGCGCTGTTGGGACTGAGAGCGTCAGGCTGTTCAGAGATTGAAGTGTCTTGGGGTGTGGACTGGCTGCCAGCTAGCAGCCCCAACACACAAGGGCTGCTCTTCAGAGAGCCGTCATGCCACCTGCCCGTCCACATGGTATGCTGTTTCTGCTGAGATCTCCACTTGTCCCTAAACTCCTGCATGCACGTGGCTGCAGCCACTCCAGACCCGGCTCGGCAGAGCATTGCAGCGCCTAGGGCTGACTTTGCTGCCCCTCATATGGGGGCCGAGGGGAGGCTGGCCCAGAATGTATATTTTGCTATAGGAACATACACCGAATCTCCCCTCAGTTTTTTTTCTGGGGTGGCTGGCTGGTGTGGAGCTCCGAATCCCCTCAGTTGTGATTGTAGATGCATTTTTAAAGGATGATGTTAACCAGCATCACAGTAGTGTTGTTTCGACTCATTGAGTGCTATTGGTGGAGCTGTGAGGCTTAGAGACATCACTTAGATATCAGCACGTTGATGCCCTTTCACATGCTCATGCCCACCCGTGCTCTGTGGGGTCCCATCTCTGCACGAGCAGAACAGCTCTGTCCATTCCTTCTGTCACTGGAACGAGGTCTCCGCTAGTCCATGCTGGAATCATCCGCACCTATGCCCAGCCAAGCTGCCACCCGGGGCACGTTGAGGCTCTATTTCCTTTTCTGGAATCAGAACGTCCAAGGCAGGCACTCACTTCTTCTGCTTTCTGCATGGTCCAGGCCACTCACTCAGCCTCCCTGGATCTTTTCCTTAACTGAAAGTAAAGGTAGGGACCAGAGTGGCAGGAATAATAATATATTACTTATTTAAAAGTTTATTATGAAAAATATGCATGCACATACATTTAAAGAGTAGTAATAAAACAAACTCCCAGGTTCCCATATACACACCAAGGAGTTTCTTCCTCTCACTCCTAAGCCCCCACCCCAATTGTATCTTCCCTTCCCCCATGCCACTGCCCTGATGACTTGCACCCTTATGGGGGTTTTCAGCTGCGTGCATGTCCCCTCAGGTGTGGTTTTGTTCTGGTTTTGAACATGATTCCTCTGAAAGGAATCATGCTACAGCGTCATCTGTGGCTTGCTGCTTTTTCTTGGTATTAGATATTAAAAGTCCCTCCAGCTTGATGAATCTGTTTCCTCTCACTGCTGTCTGCCCCTGTGGGTGGACCTCAGGGCAGCTTCCAGTTTGGGCCATTAGATGCCACAGTGCTCTAAGTGCTGTTGGGCATGACACGCGTGTTGGAGCAAGCCCAGGCGTAGATAGAAAGGAAGTGTCTACTTGGGGCTCAGGTGTGCAGTAAACATCAGTAGAGTCTGGTTGTTGCTCTGGTGAGGTTTGAACAAGGTGTGGCAGTGGGGCTGGGAAGCAGCTCCAGGAGGGTTGAATCTGTGCAGAGGCTTTGGGTAGGGAGGATGAGCAGGTGGGAGCTGAGCATAAGCTTGGTGGGTGAGTGGACTTGCCTGGTGCAGTCAAATAACATTTGACCTGGACACAAAGACTGAGGAGGGGTTTGCTGGGGATCTGAGCTGGGAGGGCATTACAGACACTCAGTGCAGAGACAGGGGTGAGTGCAGGGCTGTGGCCATACCTCAGTGCTGTGTTGCCCAAGAGATGACAGCACCCAGCCCAGAGCATATGAAGCCTTTGGTCTATATCCCATCTCTGTCCTCTCACAGCTCTGTGGCCTTGGGCTGTTTTTGAAGTCTGAGTGCTTGTGTCTTTATGTAAAAAGGTAGCAAATAAAGTCTCCCTTGCTGGGACTTTTGGACGTTTAAGGGTAAAGTGTATATGGTCCATGACCTGTGAAAGAGATGTTCCATAACCACTGGGAAGTATTACCAGTAACGAGGTTGCTTTGGTCACCACCTGAATGGGGTTTGTGTGTGCCCCTCCTTCAGGATGGAGTGAGGGCCACACAGGGATCTAACTGCAGGTCCTGAGTAGTGGAGCGAAGCAAGCAGTGAGGGCTGGTCTGTCGCACGGGGAACAAGCTGGTGAGGTGAGGGCTGTTCAGAGACTGGGCAGGAGGGAGGGATTGGGTCCAGTGTCTGCTTAGGCCTGAATCAAGAGGGCATGGGTTAGCCCACAGCCCGGCACACTGGCCACTAGCCACATGTGCCAATGTAAACTTGAATTCATTAATAGTAAATGAAGTTAACATTCAGTGTCTTGCTCACATTTCAGGGGTTCAGTTGCCACATGTGGGCAGTGGCTGGATAAAGTACAATGTGTGTGGAAGCTGACCACCACCAGCCTCTGTCCTCCCCCACAGCCTTTTCAGAGAAACTAACCTGTGTGCTCTGGACCCCCTCGCAGGTGGAGCTGGAGGTCACGCTGCCAGGAGAAGGCAAAGATCGCATCTTCAAGGTGTCTATCAAGTGGGTGTCCTGCGTGAGCCTGCAGGCGTTACACGATGCACTTTCAGGGCGGCTGCCCAGCGTCCCCTTTGAGACGATCCAGGCCCTGGATGTGGTCATGAGGCATCTACCATCCATGAGGTGAGGGCACCACATGGAACTCAGGACCTGGGGGCCAGAGCATCTGCTCTTAACCCCAAGTGTTACCGGGAAGTCTGCAACCTCTGCTTGAGAAGAGCTGATTCTTGGAGTCGGGGTGGTTAAAGTCGTATAGGTTTTCTGTGATTGGTATAATAAATGATGGAAAGCTGGGGAAAATTTTTAATACAGAAATAAATCACCAGTGTTCTCAGTCTTGCACAAAAAGATCACCTCCCTGTCTCTGAGCAGATTGTGCATTCATTTTTCACTTAGACCTGCATTGGTCAGCACTTTTCTGTCTCCCTGTTGTCGTCATACTTGGGACTTATCACACTAGAATCGTATTTCCAGCACCATATCCCACTGTGTCCACCACTAGGAGGAACCTTCACCACCCGCTTTTCACGATTCTTGGTAACACTATAGATGCTTGAGACTTCTTTTTTTGTTTTGTTTTGTTTTGTTTGTGGCTGGCCAATAAGTGGATCTTTGACTTTGGTGTTATAACACCACACTCTAACCAACTGAACTAACCAACCAGCCTGAGACTTCTTTTTTTTGGTATTCTACAGGATAACTTTTTAACCATAAATTGCCAGACTTGAAATTGGGGGAGAGCAGGAGGGAGGGCAAGTGAATGTTTTAATGGCTTATAATTTGCCCAAATGCTGGGCAGAGGGTTTTACTAATTTCCTCTGAGAGTATCTGTGTAGGAGCAGGACCAGCCCCCCACACCCAGACCTTGGGTTCTGCCAGTCCCCACACCAGTGCCTTCCACACACAAGGCACACAAGAGGACCTCAGGAGCGATTTAATTAACAAGTGAAAGAACAAAAACCTAAAACTGAAACAAACCTCCATGCTGAGCTCTCACAGGACTGACCAAGATTCAAAGATTCAAGGAGAAGAGTTGAGGTTTCCTTTGTAACTGTAGGAGAAGGCACTTTGAAGCCATGTATTAGATTCTAGATGGGACCATGGTTTTCTCAGTCTTGGGATTGGGTGGAGATGACCAAACACAGGACAGGCTGTCACTGCCTGAAATTGTTGACAGGAGGAAGATGGGTGGGTGCAGAAACAACCTAGAAGGATGGTCACCAAACTGTGGTCTGCATTTTTAATTCAGTGGCAGAAATCACTGTGGTTTTTCTTCTCTGAATTCCTTTGGATCATTTATATTAATTTTATGGTCAGGGAAGAAACTGCTATTTTCATTTTGGAGAAAACAGTAGTAGAGGTAGGCTTAGCACATTTCAGGCGGTAAGTGAAAAGGGCTGTCTGTTATTTTCTTACTAGTGCAGCCCTGAGGTGGGTGATGTCACTACTAATTGGTGCATCTTCCTGGGGAGTCATTGCGATGGTGTATCCCCTTGACCAGGTGCCATGTGCAGTGTGGCCATGGATGAGATTGTGCTGGAGAATGTATCTACTTGGGCCTGGAGGCTCAGGCTCAGGTCAGCACGCTGGCCCTACCATCCCCTGCACAGGAGCTCACTTCTGCCCCCTGTCCCTGGTGCCTGGTGCTCAGGAGGTGCTCAGTAGCAGGCATTGATGAAACGGGAGGTGCTCAGTAGCAGGCCGGCCTTGTGCCTCAGCATTGATGCTCAGCTGCCACTGGGCTGGTGGCAGCCAGTCTCCCCAGGCTGGGGCAGGGCAGTCCAGTTGTCTTGGCCTGGCTGTGGTTGGCGCTCATGGTGCCGTGTTCACCTGTGCATACTTGCCCCACACAGCCCTGCTTTAGGACGACCTGAGGCCGTGTGCACAGAGGTGTATTCTATAGGACTTGAAGGCCTGGAAGGAGGGGAGGCCTGGAAGCACAGAACAAAGCTGGGGACACCATGTGTACCTCCAGGCCCCAAGCTACAGCCAGGGGCTGTCCCCGATGAGCTCTGTCTCTTCAGGAACCACACAGAGGATACCATCGGAACGCAAGTGGGTGTCTGTGAGCTAGAAACACTGCGGGCCTCAGGTAGCCCATGCTGGCACTGAGACCGAGTGCGCCCCTGGGTCTCCACCCTGTGTGGTGTGCTTGCACGTCTCTCAGTGTCCCCACATGAAGCCACAAGTCCCAAGTTGCTGCCTACGTGATGTCCTTCAAAGTAGGCATGGACACAGGCTCGAGTGTGGTATAGTAAAAGCAGTTTTATAAGGAGAAAACCAGAATTATCAATGAGTGTGTGTGTTTGCTTCCGTGATTGATGTGGATGAAGAGCAGACTCAGAGTTCCTACCTGAAAACGTGTCTGAGCAGATGAGGGTCTCTTGGTTCTAGGTACACCCCTGTGGGCCGCTCCTTCTTCACCGCGTCTGAGGGTTGCTCCAACCCTCTTGGTGGGGGCCGAGAAGTGTGGTTTGGCTTCCATCAGTCCGTCCGACCTTCTCTTTGGAAAATGATGCTGAATATTGATGGTAAGCAAAATCCTGCAGGTCTTTACTGCAGGGTGGGGCTGCAGAGGCCAAGACCTTGGGGAGGCAGGCAGCCCTAGGCATGGCCTCTGTCACAGCTGGAGATGCTGCAGCACACCCGGCCTGTCTCACCTGCGAGCATCTGTTAGGGCAGGACAGTGGTGCTCAGACAAGCAGCAGAACCGCCTGGGGACCCCACCCCCAAGATGGGTCAGTGGGGCTGCAGCAGGCCAGAGAATCCCCCCAGCACTGCTGCTGGTGCACCAAGGTGCAGGATTGGGGCTACCCCGCCCTGTCTCCTTCTGCTTTAGCTCGAGGGTGTGTGTTTGGTCCGAGGACAGGGTGGCCAGTTAGGGGACTGCTGGTCTGGCCACCTCCTGCTGGTCTCCTTCCAAGTGCGGCTGCTGCCCGCCCCTCTCCTGGGAGACTCCATTGCTTCTCTGTGTGGGACCCCCACATCCCTCTCTGTTAAAAAGAAAAGAGTGAAGGTCAGAAAGAAGAATTCTGTTCTCTGGTTTGGCAACTAATGATTATGAGAAGCTCTAGAAAGGGATGAAAACTGTATCTTGCTCAGTTATACATTTTTTGAAAAATAATTACATAAAAGGGAATGGTGAATTTCTGAAATATCTAAACCAGAAGATAGAAGATCCTACAAAGTCCAAGGCTTGTGGTTATCATCATGTGTTAGGTTTTGTTTTTATCTTATTTTTTGTCAGCTGGCCAGTATGGGTTTGTTTGTTTCTAAGAACTAGTTCCATTCTAAGAGGGTGCCTTAATCTGTAGACTCAACCTTCCCCGGCCATTGCTCCTGACCAGCGGGAACAGGCACGAGCCATCTCTGGCTCTGTCCTGCCCATCTCTGAGGCCCTGGGTGACCCTGCAGACAGGGAAAATTAAGGCCAGGGGTCCTGGGGCCAGCCAGGTCTGCAGCAGCCAC